CCCCCTTTCCCCCCAAAATGGCTTCATACGACCCCTCTCCCTAGTTCCCTCCTCATCCAGCTGTCAAGGGAGGAGGGGGGAAGGAGGTGTGGTATATTGTGCAACTGAAAGGGAAAAAGTCGCGACGGCTTCTTACCAGTTTTCCCGAAGTTTTCCAAAAATTTTCCTACTTTCCCTAAAAATTTTGCTGTGAGCGGTGGTATGTAGCACGTGTGAAACAGCAATAAGCGCGAAAACTCCACAAGCAAAAAAGTTTTTCTCACCATAGCAAAGACAAATATGACCCAACAGCGACTAAATACGACGCCTCCTCCCTTTATAGCGTCCCACAAACAAGAAAGATAAACAATCAAAAAAATTTTTCTTTCAGACCAATTACCACCCCCCCCCTCTCAGCGCGACAGAATACAACCCCCCTGGTGATGAATCCTCAACGATGATGTGCCCTGTTTCATGATACCAATGGACAAGAGCACACCCCAGGGTTACAGTCGCAAGTATCGCCAACTGTTACGTAGTGCTGTTCACCATCCTCTGATACAACTGCCCAAACGTTATTCCGCAACTCGATTATCTTGTCCTGAAAAAGAAACACTTTTGAGGTCTTCAGAGGTTTCATATACGCGCAATGCAAAACTTATTCATAAAAAACCTGGTTGTGGCCATACTGCCGTAGCGCCTCCTTGTGCTTCATATGATTCTTCCACTGCATGTGAGTATACTTCTTAACGCTGTGTAGTTCCTGACCTGTCTTGTGGCCTAAGTGGCCCAGGCATGCAACGTAGCGCAGCCCTTGAGAACCTTCTTTGGAGTTTTCCAAAATCTAGAAAATTTCGTCAGTGTTTGAGCAGGGTAAACATATCATATGACTGGGTTTCTTGGAGGTTCCACCTTATTTTTTTGAAAATGGCAACATCAGCACCTGTGTTTCCTACCGAGCATTAGCGAAGCTGCAGCTTGCCAGCAGCCTCACTGCTATTTGTGCGTAAAACTTGTTATGGCAATATCGCCAGCTGGTGTCAGCACCCTTCTCACCAAAATCGCTATATACCTGCTTACTGGGATATTCGGGGTCCTGATAACGGCTATACCCGACAGTCATTTTTGCCGCTGAATTTCATGACACTCTG